CTTCGGAGAGCGTCTAAGATTGGAGAGGTTGATGTTGAGCTACACACTCTGGCCAAATATCTGATGGAACTAACTGCTGGACTACGATATGGTGCACTTTCCTCCTTCTCAGATTGCAGCGGGAGCTTTTTGCTTAGCACTGAAAATTCTTGATAATGGTGAATGGACACCAACTCTGCAGCATTACCTATCATACACTGAGGAATCCCTTCTTGTTGTTATGCAACACCTGGCAAAGAATGTGGTCATGGTGAACCGCGGGCTTACAAAGCACATGACTGTCAAGAACAAGTATGCCACATCTAAGCATGCTAAGATCAGCACTCTAGCACAGCTGAATTCTGCACTAGTTCAAGATTTAGCCAAGGCTGTGGCAAAAGTGTAACTTGTGAACTTTGGAATACTATCTGCAAATAAAATTGGTACCATGTGCCATCTGTACATACTATATGTTACATTTATTTACTTTTAATAAAGTTGCAGTTCTTTTAAAAAAAAAATGAAATAGCTCAACTGAAATTCCATCACCTCAACTAGCTTTGTTCGTAATGATGCTTCCTAAGGCTCACTTGGCGTCACATTCTAGGATATCTGGCTCTAGGTGAATGATCACACAATCGTGATTATCTGGGTCTTGAGATCTTTTTTGTATAATTCTTCTCTGTATTCTTGCCACCTCTTCTTAATATCTTCTGCTTCTGTTAGGTCCATACCATTTCTGTCCTTTATCAAACCCATCTTTGCATGAAATATTCCCTTCATGTCTCTAATTTTCTTGAAGAGATCTCTAGTCTTTCCCATTCCATTGTTTCCCTCTATTTCTTTGCATTTATCACTGAGGAAGGCTTTCTTATCTCTCCTTGCTGTTATTTGGAACTCTGAATTTAGATGGGTATGTCTTTCCTTTTCTCCTTTGCCTATCACTTCTCTTCTTTTCACAGGTATTTGTAAGGGCTCCTCAGACAGCCATTTTGCATTTCTTTTTCTTGGGGATGGCCTTGATCACTGGCTCCTGTAGAATGTCATGAGCCTCCATCCATAGTTCTTCAGGCACTCTGTCTATCAGATCTAGTCCCTTGAATCTATTTGTCACTTCCACTGTATGATCATAAGGCATTTGATTTAGGTCATACCTGAATGGTCTAGTGGTTTTCCCTACTTTCTCAATTTTAGTCTGAATTTGGCAATAAGGAGTTCATGATCTGAGCCACAGTCAGCTCCCAGTCTTGTTTTTGCTGACTGTATAGAGCTTCTCCGCTTTGGCTGCAAAGAATATAATCAATCTGATTTCAGTATTGACCATCTGGTGATGTCCATGTGTAGAGTCTTCTCTTGTGTTGTTGGAAGAGGGTGTTTGCTATGACCAGTGCATTCTCTTGGCAAAACTCTATTAGCCTTTGCCCTACTTCATTCTGTACTCCAAAGCCAAATTTGCCTATTACTCCAGGTATTTCTTGACTTCCAAATTTTTCATTCCAGTCCCCTATAAGGAAAAGGACACCTATTTTTTTGGGTGTTAGTTTTAGAAGATCTTGTAGGTCTTCATAGAACCATTCAGCTTTAGCTTCTTCAGCATTACTGGTCAGGGCATAGACTTGGATTACTGTGATATTGAATGGTTTGCCTTGGAAACGAACAGAGCTCATTCTGTCGTTTTTAAGATTGCATTCAAGTACTGCATTTTGGACTCTTTTGTTGACTATGATGGCTACTCCATTTCTTCTAAGGGATTCTTGCCCACAGTAGTGGATATAATAGTCATCTGAGTTAAATTCACCCGTTCCAGTCCCTTTTAGTTCACTGATTCCTAAAATGTCAACACTCACTCTTGCCATCTCCTGTTTGACCACTTCCAGTTTGCCTTGATTCATGGACCTACCATTCCAGGTTCCTCTGCAATATTGCTCTTTACAGCATTGAACTTTACTTCCATCACCAGTCATATCCACAACTGGGTGTTGTTTTTGTTTTGGCTCCATCTCTTCATTCTTTTTGGAGTTATTTCTCCACTGATCTCCAGGAGCATATTAGGCACCTACTGACCTGTGGAGTTCATATTTCAGTGTCCCATCTTTTTGTCTTTTCATACTGTTCATGTAGATAAGCTTAGGAAGAATTCAAAATTTTTAAAATATTCTGCATTCCAACCAAGATCTACATTTTTAGTGGCATTTATTTCTAGATTTTTTTTTTTTTGTTCCATACTGATAGAATCAGCTTCTTAATTTCTATGAAAGCCAATAGGATTTTAATTGAAGTGCTGCTTTTCTCAAGCATTCTCATTGTAACAATATTGCATGTTTTCCACCTATGAACAAGATACATTTTCATACATTTCAACCTATGATACATTATACATGTCTTTTACATCACTCAATAATATTTGTAGTTTTAAAGTGTATATATTTGCATATCTTTTATCAGGTTTATGCCTAAGTATTTAATATTTTAAATTCTATTTAAACAGTATTTTTAAAAATTTCAATTTATGATTGTTCATTTATATGTTTATATCTTTCATATACAAAATTAAATTGCTATATAAATATGCAGTTGATTTTTTTATATTGATCTTATATACTGCAACCTGGTAAACACACTTATTAGCCCTGTAACTTAAAAAAAGAAAAAGATTTCATAATCTTTTCTACATCTAAAAGTGTTTGAATAAAGACAGTCTCCTTTTCAATACAGATTCCTTTTATTCATTTCTTAACTCATTGCACCTGCCGAAACTGTCAATGCGATGGTGAATAGATGTGGTGTGGGCAAACATTCTCACCTTGTTCCTTATTTTAAGCAAGAAATGGAAGAAAGGAACAAAGGAGCAAATGGTGTTAATAAAAAATGAACACCAAATGGTAGGTTTAACCAATAACAGCATTTTTACATCAAATCTGAGCAGAGTCAATAACAGTCTTTTAGCATTGGACAATGTTAGCTTAAGGTTTCTCATAAATGTTCTGTGTTAGGTTGAGGACGTTCTCTTTTATTCTTAATTTGCTGATTTTTAAAATTAATTGTGTATACTACATTTTGTCAAATGCTTTTATATGTACCTATTGAGATGATCATATGGTTTTTAAAATTATTTTCTAATAAGGTGAATTATGTTGATTGATTTTCTATTGCAAGTCACTTTTATTTCTAAGTTAAACCCACTTGGTCATGATGTATTTTCCTTTTTATATATCTTTAGATCTGGTTTACTAACACTTTGTTCATAGGTTTTAAATCTTTGTTAGTAAGAGATATTGGTCTGCAGTTTTATATCCTTGTCATATGTTATTCTTGGTTGTGGTATCACATAATGCTGGCCTTACTGAATAAATCGGGAAGTATCCCCCTTGTTCAGTTTTCTGAAAGATTTTAGAAATTGTGGCATTTATTTTAAAAATACATCATAGAATTCACTGGTGAAATAATCTTGGCGTGAAGTTTTCTGTGTGGGAAGGTTTTTAAATAACAAATTCAATTTCTTTAATTGATATGGAGGTGTAGCTGTTACATATGTCATCTTAGGGAAGCTCTGGTAGTTTGCATAAATTTGTTTTAACTTTGTATTCAGAGTTGTTTGACTCGGCCCCACTCTGCAACAGGTTTGCACTAGCCAAGAGGCCACCTGATCCATGCAGACAGCTACACAGAAACCCAGCCCTGTCCTCCAAGGGGTTGCAGAAGCCCCACATCTGCTGGGCCACACAACCAACTGAGCAAGAAGCCTACCCTGCTCTCCAACGGGTGCACAGCCACCACCCAAAGGGCAGCCTCACAGCCAGCTTGGCCAGCCTCACTGACCAGCATGCCCACTAGTCAGCCCCACCACAAGGGAAGTGTGTTCACAGTACATGTCAGGGGTACCACTAAAGAATATAGTTCTGGTAACCAAAGGGGTGTGCTGCTGGGCCCCATTGACTGTCTCCTATGCAAAGCTACTTTTACAAGTTCAGGAGACACAGCTGACCTATCTAACACGTAGAAGTAAACAGTGAAGAACTGGGAAAATGAGGCAGATGATTATGTTCCAAATGAAGAAACAAGACAAAATCCCAGAAAAAGAATTTAGGAAAGTGGAGATAAGCAATATATCTGATAAAGAGATCAAGATAATGAACATAAAATGCTCAATGAATTTGGGAGAATGAATGAATATAGTAAGAATTTCAACAGAGTTAGAAAATATATAAAAAGAGCTAGAGCAGAAGAATATAAAAGCTAAAATGAAAAATGTCCTAGAAGGTATTGTCAATAAGATTAGATGATACAGAGGAATTAATCAGTGGTCAGGAAGACAGAGTAGTGAAAACCATATGAACTGTCCTATTGGGACAACATCAATGCAACATCATACTAACATTTGCATTATTGAGGAGAAGATAAAAGAAAGGAAAAGAGAGAAAGAAAGAGGCAGAGACTTTATTTGAAGAAATAAGAGCTGAAAACTTCACTAACCTGAGAAAAGAAACAGACATCCAGGTCCAGGAAGCACAGAGGGTTGCCAAACAAGATGAACACAGAGACAAAATATAATTAAAATGACACACAAAAAAAAATTAAAGAGAGAATCTTAAGAGCAACAAGAGAAAAGCAACTAGTTATATATAGGGGAACTACCATAAGAGAATTATCGGACTTTTCAGGATAGACTCTACAGGCCAGAAAGAGTGGCACAATGTATATAAAGAGATAGAAGGAAAAAATCTACAACCGAAAATAGTTGCTGCTGTTGTTTAGTCACTAAGTCATGTCCAACTCTTTTGCGACCCCATAGACGGTAGCCCGCCAGGTTCCTCTGTCCATGGGATTTCTCAGACAAGAATACAGGAGTGGGTTGCCATTTCCTTCTCCAGGGGATCTTCCCAACCCAGGGATTGAACCCGCATCTCATGCATTGGCAGGCAAATTCTTTATGTCTAGACCACCTGGGAAGACGAAACAGTTCGGTAAATATATCTAAATGTGCAGGTGTAATATACATATATATGTAATCTTTTACTAACCTTTAATAAATAGTTGATCCAACACCACCTTCTTGATGTAATGCCAATAATTCCACCATCAGGAAGATTTGCATTGCTTCCCAGTCTTGTAAATGTATTATAATTTTTTAAGTAAAGAATACCATTTATTAAGAAAAAAATTCCATCCCGTGATAGGGTCACATCAGACACATTGTGTCTTTCATCTTCAGTCAGAATATTTGGAGGCACTCTGATTCTGGTCCAAGTATGGAATGAATCATTTGTCTGAAAGGTCTCCATGTCAGCTACCACCACAACAAATGAAGGATCACAAGCAGCCCAATTTGCTATTAACTGACTACCCCGTGGTGAAGATATTGGTAAAAACCCAGGAATCTCAGGTATTGTCAACATAGGAGAAGTCAGCAGGAAAAGACTATTTGCAATAAAGCAGTCTTGAAAAGCCACTGGATTTCCTTTAACCTCTTTTAGCACATCATTTGTTGTCATTGGTACCGAGATATACCATTTCCTAAGAAGAGAAAAATGGAAAATACAAAAGTAAAATGCACTCCCTCCTTCTTCTCATTCATCTTGCATGGTGCTGGCATCATCTTTTTTTTGGTAACATTTCTTTTCTTTTCTTTTATTGGAGAATAATTGCTTTACAATGTTGTGGTGGCCTCTGCCATACATCAGTGCCAATCAGTCATAATTTTATATATATATATATATATATATATATGTGTATATATATATATATATATCCCTTCCTTCTTGAGCCTCCCTCCACCCGCCTCCCCCATTCCACCCCTCTAGGTCATCACAGAACACCAGGTTGAACTCCCTGTGTTCTACAGGAGCTTCCCACTAGTTATTTTACATTTTACATATTTTATATGTGATAGTGTATATATGTTAGTGCTACTTTCTCAATTTGTCCTACCCTCCTTGTCCCCTGCTGTGTCCACCAGACCATTCTCTACAACTGCATCTCCATTTCTTCTCTGTAAATAGTTTCATTAGTACTATCTTTCTAGATTCCACATATATGCATTAATATATGATATTTGTTTTTCTTTTTGACCTAACTTCACTCTGTATAACAGGTTCTAGGTTCATCCACCTCGTTGAAAAATTTTTATTTTTATCAACATAAGTCTGGGTAAAACAAAACAATATTAAAACGCCACCACAGCCCCATTTCTCCTCATTCCTCACTTTAGTTACCAAAAGAAAACAGTTTTGATTCTTGCAGCTCTATGTTCTGAAATGTCTCCATTATCTCAAATAAATATTCTTATACTGCTCTCTTAATATGTAATTTTGTTCATTATTGGCTTCTTATATGACACATGAAACTATTTCTGCCACATAATATACCTGCCTGTACATCTCTTTTTTCAAGTTAATATCATAGTGTTTAGCTAAATTTATAGTATTTACATTGTTATTAAATATATATATATTGTTAACTACTGAGAAAGTCATAATTAAGTTTTCCTATGTGTATTATTTTCCTATATGTATATTTACAATATTTCCCATAAATGATTTCACTTAAAAATGTGCTCAGTTTTCTAAGTTTCCCAGTAGGTAATTAAAACGGTGCTCCACAATATCTTCCATGTGGTAAATGCACAGGTAACCTAGTACTTCTTTCCTGAAATTTTCTTTCTTTATTCCCTGTGTTGAAGTCACCATTTACTGGGTCCAATGCTTTGATCTTTCTTGTTTTGTTAAAACACATTTTTTAGTACCTCTCTGTTAACGGGTATGTGAACATAAAATTTTTGAGACTCTGAATACCCCAAAATATCTTTATTTTACATAAAGATATGTAATTTGGCTAGATAGAGACTTCAAAATTTTGAAGGCATTTTCTCCAGCCTTGCATATTCAGCTTTACTAATGGGAAGTCAGACGACAAATTGACTCTTGTTATTATTCAAATGAGGTGTCTTTCTATAAGTTTTTTAAGATCGTCACTTTTTTTCTTTGTATTATAAAATTTGACAGGGCTGGGTCTATCTTTTGAAGTGGACACACAAATGTATTTGTGAAAACAAGCACTCTGATATGTATCTTAAAACTTATGAGAAGTTCTAAGGAGAATTTCTCAGCAGGGCAATTCAGGAGACATCAGTTTAAAGAATGTTCAGTAAATGCTTCTTGAGTTTCCTATTCCCTCAATGAATATACACTCGGTTGGTGGTGATGGCATTCTGCCCACTCAGAATGAGGTCCTGCCAGGTGAAGGAAACCCCATATTGGGGCAATTGAAGGTATGTCATCAAACTTCAATGCCCTAAACCATGACACCATTAAACTTTATCCAATTATTGCTTTTGGCAAGTCACACCACTGACTAACATTGGTTTCAAGCACCAGTTGGTCTTTTAAAATCATCAGTATCATTTTGTTATTGTCCACTGACTATATAATAATCTCATTATTATAAGCTGCTCCTAAGCAGCCATAGAACAATTATGTATTAGTGACTATTTTGTTTGATTGGATAACTGGTTACCTACAAGATCTAGGAAGGACCCAGGACTGAAGTCCTGGCCAAGCATACTGAGCTTTTCAGTTTTCCATGCCTATCATTTTGCTTTCAAACCTTTGATTTTTTTAAAAAAAAATTGTGACTACATTTATACACGTTTCAAATTCTTTTCTTCTCATTTTATAGCATCTTAGTCACCTTTTATGTATATAATATCTTCTCTTATTTCTGTGTACACAGTATATTTTTTTGTGAACTTTCTTTTGCTTCCTGCTGTGTCCTATGTCCTCTGAATTGAGTTGTTCTGTTTATTGATTTAGGTTTCTGAATCTGTTCGAAGCTTTCTGTAATTGGTGGTCCTTTAATATTTAATATTAAATGTCCTTTAATATTTAAGGGAGAAGCAGAAACAAGTTGTGAGATACCTCTGAGGTATACCTCTTATTCCCATTGTGCCTCACTCTGCTTCTCCCCTCCTGATTCCAAATTTAAGTTATCTTAAGTAGTTATAACTTGTTAATTCAAATGCTTTTGGGAGGAGATATGCTAGGTTTCCATATTCAGGGAGCACGATTGCAGGTACCCTAGAGAACTTCTTTTCAGAATTCCCTTCTGCAAGCTCTCAATTAACAGAATTTCTGTGCTCTATGAAGTCAGTTACCAGTTCTCTCTCTACTTTCTATTTTCTGTGCTTGCTTAAAAACTACTTAGAAAATTCAGTGGCCCATACATTATATCCAGGAAAAAGCTCAAACTATTCCAATGGAATCTTAATTTTTCCCCATATTCAATCCCATATGCCACATTATATTTCAGGTGTTCTTTTGTTCAGTCACTCAGTCGTGTCTGACTCTTTGCAACTCCATGGACTGCAGCACGCCAGGCTTCCCTGTCTTTCACCATCTCTTGGAGTTTTCTCAAACTCATGTCCAATGAGTTGGTGATGCCATCCAACCAGCTAATCTTCTGTCATCCCCTTCTCCTCCTGCCTTCAATCTTTCCCAGCATTAGGGTCTGTTCCAATGAGTCGGCTCTTCACATTGGGTGGCCAAAGTATTGGAGCTTCAGCTTCAGTATCAGTGCATCCAATGGATATTCAGGATTGATTCCCTTTAGGATGGATTTGATTGACCTCCTTGCAGTCCAAGGGACTCTCAAGAGTCTTCTCCAACACCACAGTTCAAAAGCATATCGATTCTTTGGTGCTCAGCCTTCTTTATGGTCCAGTTCTCACATGCATGTATGACTACTGGAAAAACCATAACTTTGCCTAGATGGACCTTTGTTGGCAAAATAACGTCTCTGCTTTTTAAGACATTATCTGAGTTTATCATAGGTTTTCTTCCCAGGAGCAAGCGTCTTTTAATTTCAAGGCTGCAGTGACAATCTGCAAGGATTTTTGGAATCCAAGAAAATAAAGTCTGTCATTGTTTCATTGTTTCCTCGTCTATTTGCCATGAAGTGATGAGACCAGATGCTATGATCTTCGTTTTTTGAATGCTGAGTTTTAAGCCAACGTTTTCCACTCTCCTCTTTCACTTTCATCACAAGATTCTTCTTTGCTTTCTGCCATAAGGGTAGTGTCATCTGCGTATCTGAGGTTATTACTATTTCTCCTGGCAATCTTGATTCTAGCTTGTGCTTCATCCAGCCTGGCATTTCGCATGATGTGCTCTGCATATATTAAATAAGCAGGGTGACAATATACAGCCTTGATGTACTCCTTTTCCAATTTGGAACCAGTCTGTTGTTCCATGTTCAGTTCTAACTGTTGCTTCCTGACCTGCATACAGATTTCTCAAGAGGCAGGTCAGGGGGTCTGGTATTCCTATCTCTTGAAGAATATTCCAGTTTGTTGTGATCCACACAGTGAAAGGCTTTGGCATAGTCAACAAAGCAGAAGTAGGTGTTTTTCTAAAATTCTCTTGTTTTTCCTATGATCCAGCGGATGTTGGCAATTTGATCTCTGGTTCCTCTGCCTTTTCTAAAGCCAACTTGAACATCTGGAAGTTCTTGGTTCATGTACTGTTGAAGCCTGGCTTGGAGAATTTTGAGCATTATTTTACTAGTGTTTGAGATGAGTGGAATTGTGCAGTAGTTTGAGCATTCTTTGGTGTTGTCTGTCTTTGGATTGGAATGAAAACTGACCTTTTCCAGTCCTGTGGCCATTGCTGAATTTTCCAAATTTGCTGGCATATTGAGTGCAGCACTTTCACAGCATCATCTTTTAGGATTTGAAATAGCTCAACTGAAATTCCATCACCTCCACTAGCTTGTTCATAGTGATGCTAAGGCCCCCTTGACTTTGTACTCCAAGATGTCTGGCTCTAGGTGAGCAATCACACCACCATGGTTATCTGCATCATTAAGATCTTTTTTGTATAGTTCTGTGTATTCTTGCCACCTCTTCTGCTTCTGTTAGGTCCATACTATTTCTATCCTTTAATTGTGCCCTTCATTGCATGAAATATTCCCTTTGTATCTCTGATTTTCTTGACGATGTCTCTAGTCTTTCCAATTCTGTGGTTTTTTTTGTTTTTTGTTTTTTTTTTTCCCCTCTGTTTCTTTGCACTGTTCACTTAGGAAGGCTTTCCTGTCTTTCCTTGCTATTCTGTGGAACTCTGTATTCAGATGGGTTTATCTTTCCTTTTCTCTTTTGCTTTTCATTTCTCTTCCTTTCTCAGCTATCTGTAAGACCTCCTCAGACTACCATTTTGCCTTTTTGCATTTCTTTTTCTTGGGGATAGTCTTGATCACCACCTCCGGTACAATGTTATGAACTTCCATCCATAGTTCTTCAGGTACTCTATCAAATCTAATCCCTTGAATCTATTTCTCTCTTCCACTGTATAATCATAGTGGATTTGATTTAGGTCATACCTGAATGGTCTAGTGGTTTTCCTTACTTTCTTCAATTTAAGTCTGAATTTGGCAATAAGGAGTTCATGATCTGAGCCACAGTCAGCTCCTGGTCTTATTTTTGCTGACTGTATAGACCTTCTTCATCTCTGGCTGCAAGGAATGTA